ATCTTCATTGATTCTGATGAGCAACATAAAGGCACCTCGAGTGCATCGCCCACTGCTGACTGCAAACTGCACTCCAAACATGGTGTTGAGGAGAGTAGACTTTCCTGTGCTCTGAACTCCAAGAACTGTGACCACCAGTATCTTGTTCTTAGGAGACACCAAGCCATTGAGCTGAGAGAGGACGTCACTCACCCATCTGAGAGGTATGTTGGAGGCATCTCCATCTACAAGCTCAAGGGGAAATCCATCAAGTAACAATTCTGCACATAGTTTGGGCAGATGTTGTAACTGTTTACGTGATGGGTCTGTTTCTGGAAGAGACAGTGAAGCCTCATAGATCTGACCCATTTCACGGAAGAAGTGTTCAGTCCCCAGTGAGCTGTTGGAGAGTTGTCTGTCAATTTCTTTGATCTCCTCTTTGTTCTCAGAATTTTTGCATTTCTTTTTGTACTGATCTCGGAGACCAGAAAATTTTTCTCGAGACAGGTTATCAAGGTTCATTCGCATCCATTTCAGGAAATAGCACCTCTCTATCCCTGGGCTTGATATTGCGTTGATAAAAAATGTCATTGCATTTGACATGTCACAAGAGTTCTGTTTATTCCTAAGTTCTGTTTTCTGTACCTCAAGGTCACTTTTGTAGTTTTCTATGTTCTGGGACCCAACATTTCGGAGCCAAAATTGTTCCTTCTCTAAGCGAGTCAGTTCCTTCCATATTTGGCCTTGCAAGGGTAGCTGAGTGTCTTTGTATGTAAGGATGTCTTGAATTTCTTCACTCAGAGCATCTGCATTTTTCTTGGCAGTCTGGCACTCTGAAGAGTCTTCATCAACCAAGATTCCCAGTTCATGGGCAATATCAGCCATCTGCTCAATTTGCATTTTCATACTTGAGTTCTCAACTACATTGCTGACCGTTTTCCCCAGATTTTTGACAAAGTCTGCATCATTCATCTGCTTAGTCTTTAAAAGGATGTTGCTGTTGTTCAAGCCCAACTTGGTTGCCACCTTCTTTACAGCATCAACACTGAAGTGCTTACATTGATGGTTACCAACCAAAAAGATCTGTGCCTTGTGGAGTTGGTTGGTGAGCAGCTCACACTCAGAGTCCAAATTGTCAAAGAACACAAAAACTGCTGCTGATGTCTGACACAAAAAAGAAAATTGTGTTTAAAACGAGGCAATATCACCACGAAGGTTAGCTACAGCTACTGGCTCACTGAAAATATCCATGTTTTTGTTCCCACAAGGAAGGTACCAAGTCATTTCAACCAGTCCATTGGATATTCTCCTTGGACTGTCACCACATTCCATGTCACAGTGAACAAATGTATCATGGTACTGCTGAGAATTGCTCAGAAGCTTATTGAGGATCTCTGACTTGGACAGGGAGCACTCACCCAGTCTCACAAAAGATATCATTGGAAGTTCAGAGAGAACAATTCTTTGTTCAATGAAGCCTTTGGACTCTGAAAGTGAATGAGGTCTGTACATTTTAACAATATCTCTCATGGCCCAAAGCATGAGTGTGCACTGCTTTGTGTCACAATTGGGAAGCAACAGAGGCACAGAAAACTGACACATAGACATTTTGAGTGCCATTTCCTGTTGTACAAAAGCATCAGAACACAGAAAGAGAGCAGTGATTATGTCAAGGGGGTTTAACATGTCATCTGAATGTTGACTGACGAACAGATCATCAAGATCTAACTCCGTATTCCCTGACGGCTCATCACAGTTTGACTCACATGCAGCTGTACATTTCATATTCCTAGCTGTCACATTAACCATCATCAGTTTCTTCAGAAAATACCATGGAAGATCTGAATGACACTTGGCAGGTTCATTCGTAACAGTCTTCTCATCAATCTGAAGTACTGTACTGTGTTCAGGGATAGCTTCTCTGTTAAGTGCTGCTCCAACCCCAGATCCTCCAATAACATCTCCAGTTGTGTCTCTGTGGATATAAAGATGTTTATTTTAAATTAATCATAAGTGTTTCAAGAAAAACATGGATCCAAAGGTAACTGACACATGCATACATGCCAAAATGTTCGGAAGCACAATTTTGCATCCTGCCTTTGCTTTTCAGCTAAAGGGAGCTACAAACCTCCAGAAAACTGTATTTGTGGTTGTTGTTGTCCTGTGTACACGATATAACAACTTTTGTAAATGACCTCAATGTTCAATAGTCGATGTGTTAAGTTAGCAGTTGTCATGTGTTTGTTGCCTTTATTTTGTTATTTCCTGTAAACTGGAAGATGTTTCTACACCTTGATTGAAATCCACCTGTGGTAAATTCAACTGTATGAAAGTATAAACAAAGGTTGCACACTCTGGCTCTATATGCACTGCTCTTTCATTCAGATGACTTTTCAGCCCTCAGGCCATCTTCAAGATCAGTCACAATTAAATTCAATTGAATGGGGATGATTACAAGGTCTCACAGCTGACAATGCATATAAGAGAATTGCAGAGCTCAGAGATTGTTTTGAGGCACAGATATCAGGATGGTTTTAAAATGTCTGCTTCACTGAGGGTTTCCAAGAGCACAGCAGCCTCCAACAACCAGGACTTTTCTGAGAGCTGACCGCCTGACTAAACTGAGCAACTGGGGGGAAAGGCCTTGGTAGAGCCTGGTGGTCACTCTGGCTGAGCTCCAGAGTTCTTCTGTAGAGATGGGAGCAACTTCCAGAAGGACAGCCATCACTGCAACACACCACTGGTCTGGGTCCCTATTCACAGAGCTAACTGAGCTAAACTTCTGTTCATTCCTGAACTATAACTATAATATTAAATTCAGAATGTCCACAAACAATCAGAATATCCTTTGAACTCTTTGTTGTTTTGATCAGCTTTGTCAAGACAAAATATACATTATCTGACATTATCACTGATGATTTCAGTTGCTTTCATTTTATTTATTGCTATCACATGACAAATGATGTCATTGCAAACCTACTATACTCCTTTTTTACACAATTATTGTTTTGTAAGCCTTCACAGAGTCAGAACATTGACACTATTGGTTGAACTTTATGACTTATTGCTTTTGTTTCTTTATAGCAATGCTTTACTTTTACTCACTTGTGTGTGCAGATGTTACGACAGGCTGGCTTATTCTATCATTCTTCAGTTCTTCATCAACATGGATCAGGTTTTGTGCTCCTGGCGTTGAGCTGTTTGTGTCCATTGTGTCCTGCATGTTTTCTTCCTCTCTGCAATTGATCTCAATGTAGCTCTCCTCTTCACCAGCAGAGGACACTTGCTGGCTGCTCAAAGTAGGGCAGGACACTGTGGAAATAACAATAATAATGATTTTACTCAAAGCTACTTTCTGTGCAGACAGCACACCATTTAGTGCCTCTGTGCTCAACATTAGATTGTATGAAGCCAACCTTTATCACTCGCATTAGTCTGCTGACAGTCACTCTTGCTTCCTCACTGTAAAGCTCTATAATTGAGTCTTCATCACTGATTTCCTTGATAAATGATAAACATGTAATGCAATGGAATGAATCAACTCTCTCACCCATACAGTTTTCCCATTTCATTTTATGTATCTTATGGAGATGTAGAAAATAACTGTTTACCTCCATTCTGGGTACATGGTCATCCTGCACTCGCTCCGGGTTATTCAAACAGCTTCTCACTGGAAGTAGTGAGAAACGAGGTGTTATTTCCCACCAAGTTTAAAATACTACGCAGCCTATTTGACGGCATTATTTTCCAAATAACAACATGAATTTATGCCAGTCTTGTTTCAGACCCCCAGTTCCACCCCCTTCACATGACTGGGCTTTGCAAATTCAAAACATCTACATCATATAAAAAAGAACAAACGGCATGAAAACAGAATGCATTATGTCAGACTTGACTGTTTTATGATTGCTTAAGAAAATTACCCTACAAACCAGTGCGCCGCCTCTTTGTCCTCAACCCATGAAAATAAGAAATCTGTATAGTGATACCTTTAGTAAATTTGGAATATATTCTAATTCCAACAAAGACATAGGAGGTAGAGCAAAATGTATATTTTGTCTTATACACACCTGCAGCTATCCGCTGAATTAGTAAAACACCATAGTTTCAGTCCTATCAGCTACTTTGCAACAACAATGTCTTTGTGGTTTGCAGACAGCAGGGAGACACATTGCCCCCCATATTCAAATGCACACACACACACACACACACATATATATATATATATATATAAACATATAGCTATTCTGCAGCAGGTAACCTCACCACTGATTATTTCAGCTGTATGGTTGGCAAATGAAACCTTTTCTTGCACAACAACACTTTGAAACAGTAATCCATGCCTTTATTACATCTCGGCTGGATTACTGTAATGCACTTTATCTTGGAGTCAGCCAGTCCTCCCTCGCACGTCTCCAGTTGGTGCAAAACGCAGCTGCGCACCTGTTAACTGGAGTACGTAAGAGGGAGCACATAACTCCCATCCTGGCCTCCCTCCACTGGCTACCTGTGCACTTTAGAGTCCATTTTAAGATTCTTTTATTAGTTTTTAAATCTTTAAATGGTCTGGCCCCGCCTTACCTCTCTGAGCTTCTTCACCCCTACGCTCCTGCTCGGTGCCTCAGGTCAGCTGATCTGCTGCTACTGGAGGTACAGAGGTCCAAACGGAAGCTCAGAGGGGACAGAGCTTTATCCGTTGCCGCTCCTAAATTGTGGAACAAGCTACCACTCCACATTAGACAAGCCTCCTCACTGTCCATTTTTAAAACTCGTCTAAAAACCCATTTTTATTCCTTGGCTTTCAACTCCGCATGAGACTCTGCTTCTGTTTTAGTGTTTTATGGTTTGTTTTAGTTATTGTTTTATTGTTTTTAAATTGTTTTAAAAACTGTTTAAAAATTTAAAAATTGTTTTAAAAACAATAAACAATTATTTTAGTATTTATTTCCTGTTAATTGTTTTATGTCCCTGTGTTGCTTTGTCTATTTAAGTATAGCACTTTGTTTCAGCCGTGGCTGTGTTAAAGGGCTATATAAATAAAGATGAGTTGGGTTGAGTTGAGATGTAATCATAAATAAACGTAACAAATTGGCATTGTTATATTGGTTCAAGTCCTATGGTGTAGTGCAGTACTGTGTGTGGTTTGTATAAGTGGTGTTGCTGTATCCCAGAAGAATACAGCCCAACGTTAATGTCTTCATTACAATTTACTTCTCAGACAGTCAGCGCAAAGTCTAAGTAAAGTGTCAAACATTTATGTTGCACTGCATGTGTGATGTTGTAGACAGTCTGAGCTTTTATTTATAGTTGTATATATAGAAACTGTATAACTGTACTTATAATAAATAATAATATAGTATAGTAGGAAATTAAAGTTTTGAAAATGTTGTGTTTACTCCATGGCTATGTACCAATTCCACACCTGCTATCATCATTTGATAAGAGCTGAATAGATGCACATAAAGCTTTAACATCACCACAATAACTACAGTAAGACTTTGTTCAGTATTTCCGACAACATTCATAAATATATCATTAACTACTCGTTGTACTGCCCGGGCTTGGTGGTATGGCATTTATAAGGAGGAATACCTGAAAAACTCTGTTCATCTGTAAAATATTCAGTGTTGATCACTGGCAAAGAAACAGGTTGGTCAGTCAGTAAAAATGACAACGTTGGTTGTCTGTATAGTAGCCCAGATGTTTCTCTCCCAGTTTTATCAGGTCCTCCAATTAGGCACATAACAGTAAAATCAATTACAAAACAAAGGCAAATGGCAACCCACTTTTTTGACAACATGCGACCATGGCAGTATTGCATTCTCATATCCTGGACTTTTCATAACAATGCAGTGTTCATAGGTAAATGATGTCTCCAGAAGTTAAAGCGCCTCTCAACACTTGTGCCAATGCAGCCCTGCAGCACAGACTTATTTTATACTGCTGGGATAGTCACTTTCACTTTCACGGTCAGGTGGTTTCTCAGAAACGAGCATTGAGTTTAAAGTAAATTGCATCAAAAAACTTGTTAGAATCCACATCAGATAGCTTAGTACACAAAGTAGTTTCTCTGCTGTGTTGCAGCATTAAGACAGTTTATTAGAAAGTCAGTGTTGTGGCCATGAGAATCACACAATGTTTGATTTATTTGTTCCTTTAGTATGAAGTAGTTCTTTTCAATTACCAATTGAACTGTTTGTCTATTTTAATTTAAAAGTGTTTTTGTATATTTGTGTGTGCAGGGTGGTAATCCTGTAACCTATGAATACAGCAAAGATCAACCTTGTTCAAAAGATGGAAATGGTGGTGAAATTGTGCAAGTGGGAATAAATGAAAACTACTTTCTTACCTTGGTATGGTAGACAGCAAGCTACAACGTACATTTCATCAGAACAAGCTGATGTTTCAATACTATGCAGTGTAGCCTCTCCAGAATCACTTCACAAATTAATTGTCTTGTGTAGATTATACTACAACTCTTAGTTTGGAGAAATATGCTTCTCCATAATTTGGGGGGATTTTTAATTCTATTGAATTTTCAGATCATTATTAATACATCATCTCCTGACTGCCTGGCCACTTCCTTTAAACCAATCAAATGAAGGATGCATAAGGTTATGTAGTGTAAAAATAGAGCCTTAACTGCAAAGAGTGATTAAAATAACAATCAGTAAGTATTCACCGACATAAATTGATTAAGGTTGAAATATATGTTGAGTTAATATACTCATTTACACATTGTTTCATGCATTCATGTATTGTACTCATTCACGCACACACATCTGATCATGTACTGCATGTAAGCACTTGGGACTAAAATGGAAACCAGTATGAATCAGTACACCAGTATGAATCATACCCAGGTGGCTCGAAAAAGATTACACAGTTAAGATTTGACTCAGCAAAGGGGAAAACCATGCCACCAGTATGTTCGGGCCTAATGCTTTTTCATGTGCACTTGTGCAGCAACCAGCTGACCTCTCCTAACAAACATAAAAATCCAACACAGCCTGTGGAGTCTTTTGTTGCCTCTGAGCAGGAACAGACAGATTACAGACTCCTCATCATGTGGTACAACCACTGCATTATGATACACGTCACATCAGCTTGACTAAGTCTGAGTGTGTTTGACTCATTAAATGCACTTCTTATGCTATTTAAGCATAAATGTTTTTGAAATGTGGATTGTTTATTTTTCCCTTTTAATTCTGTCACTATCATTACCTAATGATGTTAGGAAGGCCACTCTCAATTTTAGTAATATTATTTTGTATTGTGAGGAAATTAAAGGTTGTACAATGCAGTGTGAAGAAGACCAGCCTCTTCTACAGCTCAGTGGCCTAGTGGTAGAGTGTCCGCCCTGAGACTGGGAGGTCTTGGGTTTGATCCCCAGCCGGGTCATACCAAAGACTATAAAAATGGGACCCATTGCCTCCGTGCTTGGCAGATCACCACATGATTCCAGAGCGCGAGCGCGGCACTGCTGCTGCTCACCGCTCCCTCAGGAGATGGGTTAAACGTGGAGAACAAATTTCACACACTCAGGTGTGTGACAATCAGTGGAACTTTAACTATGTTGTTTATATATTGAAATGTTTTAATATTAAGGCTATTATAGCCTATTGCACATTACATTTTTTTTCTGTGACGTGCTGTTTGAACTGTTCTTTTTCTGACAGCTTTGTGATATCATGCTATTAAAGAGCATAAAGAAAGATCCTGGGTATCTTCTCCTTCTTAGGATAGAGCTTTCAATGTGAATCTCAGGGAATGTTGTTTTTTCACCCATTAGTTTTCAAGAAGAAAATGTGTTCTGGAAACTTGATATATAAACATGAAATTTAGTATCTCAGTCTGTTACTGAAAAATAAAACACTATGAAGGCAGAGTCTATCCACCTTTGAGGAAGAGATGTGAGCACAGCAGTTTTGCATTTTCTTTTTTTAAAAGATATTTTTAGGGCATTTTTGCCTTTAATTGATAGGGTAGTGAAGTGGGGCGGCAGTAGCTCAGTCCCCGTCCGGACCAAAAAGCGTGGACTGGTAGCTGGAGAGGTGCCAGTTCACCTCCTGGGCACTGCCGAGGTGCCCTTGAGCAAGGCACCGAACCCCCCAACCGCTCGGGGCACCTAACCAAGGCAGCCCCCTCGCTCTGACATCTCTCCACTTTGTGCATGTATAGGTCCTGTTTGTGCATGTGTGTGTCTTTCGG